GGCCGTATAACTCACCTCCACAAGCGGCATAAGTGTAACTTTCGCGGCTTTTCTTAAACAAATCTGTTAAGCTTAAAAAAACACCCTATATATATATATATATATATATATATATATATATATATATATATATATATATATATATGCAATAACCTCGGGGCCCGCAGGGACATTACGGCGAGGAGTGGTTCGATAGCCCTAGGCGAAACTTCTTGTTATCGAAGATGGTGTCAATGTCATCGCGAGCGCCATTCCATGTCTATAGAAGAGACTGCTGATGGGGTGGGGTTTTGGTTTGCGTAGGTCAATCTTGCATGAATGGTCCAGTCTGAAGAAACAAAGATTGGCTGAAATTAATTATCTTAGAGATTAAGGGTAATATTCTTTAGGAATGAGGCAAAGCCTAGACATATTTCGATGGAAGAAAAGGTGAGCGGGGGTTAATTGATATTTAATTGCAGTGCCACCAGAGAAACAAGACTAGTCGGAAACAATGAAGCAAGCTGCACGATTTCATGCAGCATCAATTGCGTTTAAAAAACAGATTGGTCGAGACACTAAATAGATGACGCGTATTCCAGTTTTGGTTGAACAAGAGTGATTCAAGGACTACTTTTAAAGTTCGCTAGGCCACTTTAAAATCACGACCAATACTAGCAAGGAAAGGGTTAGATGAGTATATTATTTTGTGAACATGAGCAATCCAAGATAGATTGTTAGCTAAATGAGCCCCAAGATATTTGTACTTGTTAGTAACCTAAAGAGTTAAATATGCTACTGGGTGGGAAGAGGGACACGCCGAAGTTAGATGCAAGCACCGTTAATGTTGGAAGACATTTGACGAGTAGGGCACAGTCCGAGATAGTCTCAATGCCGCTTCGGAGTGAGAGTTTTTATTGGGAGAATTAATTATCCAATAAAGAACGCAGTCACCCCCGAAAAAACGAACTAACAAGAAAATGTGAACATGAAGGTCATTAATATTGATTAAAATAATGGAGGGCCTACCTTGCCAAATACAGTTTCTTGCGGAATGCCAGAAAAGAATTCAGATAGAAGTTAGGCTGGTGTTGTTAGCGAAAACAGTTTGAGAGCGATTGACCGCGAAAACAAAGTGAGAGTTAGAGTTAAAAGTCGTGATCATGTAATTTTGTTTATTTATGTTTTCAGTAATTTATTTCTTTATTGATACTACATTTTACAGTGAAGGTTTTGTAGAATTGAAGAAACAGTTTTAATGCTTACGAAGTACGTTAGCATTTCGCGGCGGAGTTCCGAATAATCGAAGGATGGGAACTCCGACCTCTCGGCGGTCCGCATGCTTTTGTGTGCGGAGAGTCGCGTGTTCTCAAGGCTGTCGGCGGTTTTGAATACAGTCACCACAGCTTCCCTCAATAGCTGCCTAAGGTGCGCCTACAGTTGTCTCGAAGAGCCAAAATTTCCCTCGGGCGTTGGCGGTTTTGTGTAAACAGCATCCTCGCGCTGCCTCGGTTTTACATCGCCGCGTACGTTCTGGCAACACCACGGCCGCTCAATCCACTCTTCCCCCGCTCGAGCAGAGCGTCATTGGAAGTGTTCCAGAAAACTCTTTCCCTAATGTAAGAAGGAACGTCGATGTTACGAGTGAACGAACGGAGCGAAAGAGCTCAGCGGGAACCACGCTGCGGTGTAACAAAAACAGCCCGGACCATTCCGATCCTTTTCTTTTTGGCAACAAAATACTGGTCCCGGCGGTAGGTTCAGTGTGGAGAAGGTTCCAAAAGTAGCAGATTACCACAATTGTACATGAGAGGAGATTTCTGATGAACAATGACCCGTGATTCTGAGTGCGGACGCAGCGCAGCCGCACATAAAAATACAAATTTATGCCCAAATTAGACTTTGTTAGTGGCACATGTTTTGAGAATGTTGCCAAGATCACAAAAGTGAAACTATTCAGGTCAACTGAACGACTACTTAACGGCCTCGAAATTGCGTGCACAACAAAACATATTGTAAATGATATTTGAATACAAACGTATACTTAGGCTTGCCGCGAACTTTCCGTCGTATGAAATAAACGAGCACAATTGTTGGTTCTGCATAATTATAAAACCGACCTATTATGTCTAGTGAAAAGCTTATTAATGATTGGAGACATGTTTTATTGCATTTCATGTGAGACAAGAACAAAGCAAAGGCTAGAAAACAACTGGTGAGCTATAACGCGATTGTCAGTCGCATTGAACATCTTGCTTTGTAATAAACACATGCTTAGTACAACAAATAAAATACCTAGGTGCGGTATTTTTCGAAGACGGCTTATGGTCAACACAGGTATAACGAGGAATTTGGGAGGGCGACAGGTATATTTAAGATTTTTACAGCGGATCCAGAAACATGTCAGTATCAAGGGCAAAGAGTTCTCGTATCAGGCATACGTTAGATCAATTTTAAATTAGGCTTTCCCTGTATTGGATTCAATTTATTTAGTGTAGGTAAATTTACTAGAACGTATTCAACCTATCGCGGCCCGGTTCGTCCTGAAAAGGTAAAGTCGCTTTTGGAGCTCAATATACATGGAACAAATTTTGCCTTGGTCTCTTTAAAGGAGCCCCGTACACGTCAATCGCTGGAGCTTTATTTTTATGATAATCTTTAAGCGATAAATTTCTGCTTCGTTATTCTTAAAATCGCCAAATTATACCTCGCCACTAACAGTCTTTAAATAAAATGTTCCACCCTATGCCACCTAAACGAATATTTTTAAACACTGACTTTATTCTGCACCATATCAGAGGTAAATGTTTGCCAGCGGAAGTGGTGGGCCGCGAAAATGCTGATTTTTTTTATAATGCATTGCTCTGCCCGTAATACTTCTTAAGAGGCGCTTACGGCATGCTCTTAAAGCATGAAAAAATATAAATTTTATAAACCATGCCTTGTAATAGAACTTTGCATTTTAAAATTTTATTTTAGTGGGAACACAGCGTTTGGGAAACTTGCCACATACAGTTGTGATTGAAACCAGAATAATTTACGACGATGCGCTTCTCCAACAAAAAGGAAGTTACATCTTTCAACATTTTACCATTTTGATGAATAACGTAAGCCATTACGTTTTGTAACTAGATGTTATGGACGTTATCGAAATTCAGGTATGGACGTAACTTGTGTTCTAATTATGTTTTCGCCAGTCCTACGCCGTTTGCCGTCCTCTCAATTCCAGTACACAGTACGTTTTTCGCGACGAGGATTTTTTGGGCGGGTTCATCGGGAAGCACTAGACAACAGGGAAAGAAAGAAGAAGTGGTGGGTGGAACAACGAAGACGACAGCTGACTGCGGGTTGTCTTCCTGGGAGCCGTCGACGCAAACAGAAACGACTGGGCGTAAATGCGAGGGACAATTGGGCCGTATCGTGAAGACGATATTCCGTAGTCCTGACGACACCCAGCGGCGGCTGCACCGACCATGGGAGATATCACCACATCGTTGCCGCGACATCACCAACGTCGTTGTCAGCTGAAGTGAAGTGAAGTGTTCCACTCTGACCTCCATTAACTTACTTGACTCGAAACTCGCATTTGTTATCTAGTGACACATCAAATACTTGTTTTATGACTACCCTAATGGAATTATGTATCCTTTGAAGTATTTCATGATTTTCTTCCGATTTGTTTCGCTATTATTTTTTTTTACGGGACTACTAGAAAATGACACAAAAACAGTACTTGCCTCGTCAAGAATTTGATATATCCAAAGAGAGCTTGACCTCGAGTAACGAGCCTCCTCACATTGGCGTCGGCGACAGGACGAGGCAAGTCGTGTTTTGCTTTTGTGTAACCTAACGAAAAAAATGAATACGAGAGAAATAATGTCGATGGGCGAGGTACTCGGTCTGAGCGGAGATGATCTACGCAAGTGGGTTGACGCGGAGCGAGAGCGTGAACGCAACGAAAAGCTAGCGGAGAGGGACGACAATAGATCGGCTTGACGCGGAGCGCGCGCTGGCTCAATGCGAACGGAGCGCTTAGCGCTTGAACAACAACCTCTACCACTAAATTCGCAGCTCCTGGAAAGCAACAAAGTAATGTGGAAGCAGTTAACTCAGGATCCTCAGGCGAAGGATGCACCTCACCAGTAACTGTAGCCGTTAATAGTCCCCTCAAGCTCATCCCAGTTTTCGACGAAAAACGGGACGATCTAGATGCTTACCTACATAGGTTCGAGCGCATAGCCGTCGGACAGGGTTGGCCACGGAAGAAGTGGGCTACACCCCTCAGCATGTGCCTCGTAGGGAAATCACTTCGAGTTTTCGGATGTCTTTCTCCAGTGGAGTCGCCAGATTACGATTGCACAAAGCTTGTACTACTTAAGCGGTTCCGGTTTACAACCGAAAGTTACAGGAAAAAGTTTCGCTCCTGCAAAGCACAAAATAGAGAGACCGGAGGCCAGTTCGCAGCCCGTCTAGAAGGGTATTTTGATCGCTAGATTGCGATGAAAGAAACTCCCAAAACGTACTAGGCCGTGCGGGACCTGGTTGTCTCTGAACAGTTTCTTGGTAACTGTCACCCTAAATTGGCGCTTTTTCTGAAGGAGCGGAACTGTACAAGCTTAGTTGAGCTAGCTAAAAACTCGGACAACTATCTCGATGCTGGATGAGAAAAGAAACCATCGCATCTGGAGAGCTTGGGCAAAAGAAAAAGGACAATACCTACGCTGTGGAGAAGCCACGTTGCTTGGTGAGTAACAAAACTGAACACAAGTCAGCAGAATGTCGATCCCGGATAGAAAACCAGAAATTTTGCTGGATATTTAAAAAAGAGGGTCACCAGTCAAAAACGTGCTTTCAGAAAAACCTGCTGAACCCGCAAGCGTTGTTTCCTTGCACCACAGCCTACTACTGGCCCTAAAGCAGAGCAGCGTACGCAAGGGTGCTCCAACATCCTGGAAGTCCAATCACAAGTGGTCAATGTCGTTTAAGATCGTCTGGAAGTTTCCGGCATATTTAAGGTTGATATGCCAGCCTCTGAAGGCACGTTGAACGGAGAATCAGTTGTAGTCCTCAAGGACACGGGTAGCAATACTGTGGTAGTCAAACGGCAATTGGTGCCATCCGAAGCGTTCACTGGCACAGAAGGGCCAATATACCTTGTCGACGGATCATGTCAGACACTACAAGAAGCTAAAGTGCAGGTGTCATGTCCGTACTACAGCGGCACAGTCCGAGCCAAGGTAATGGACAATCCACTGCACGATGTAGTACTTGGAAATGTACCAGGATTATTACTACTAGAAGAACCAGATTTTACTTGGCAGACGCAGAATGGGTTCACGGAGCTCGAAGAAAACAATGTTTCAACCGATCGAGTGCCCACCAGCAAGGAAAAAGTTGTGCCTAGCATAGCACCGGCGAGAAGGGAGGTTTGGAGAGACGATCTGAGTCAGCGTCAGAAACTCCACCCTACTTTGGCAGTATGCTTTCACAAAATCGGGCAGATGCAGACTTCGAATGGGGGCCATACATCGGAATTTTACCTATCGAAAGGGGCTTTTTTTCGCCGGTATGTCCTTACATCTCGAAAATCGTTCAACCAGGTGGTGGTACCGCAAGACCTGCGACCCTACATCCTGAAAGTGGCTCACGAAGGAACAATGGCAGGCCACCAGGGCATCAAGATGGCAGATCGCGTCCTGGAAGCTTTCTTTTGGCCAGGAGTGGAAGAACAAATCAAGCGATTTGTAAATCCTTGTCAAAAATGCCAGAGAGTGACCTCCAAGGGGAAGATAGCAAAAGCATCGCTTGGAAACATGTCGATAATCGAAACGCCATTCGAGTGCGTCGCAATCGACTTGATTGGACCTTTCTCGCAATCATCAGACACGGGAAACCGCTTAACTTTGACCATGGTTGACTGTGATACAAGATATCCCGATACAGTGGCGCTTCCATCGATGGACTCCAAAACCATGGCCGAGGGCTTGATCCAGATGTTTTCGCGCGTTGGAGTACCACAGGAAATACTTAGCGAGCAGGCTCCATTGTTCCCTTCAGCCTTGATGAACAAGGTATCCTGCCTCTTGTCCATACAACAGCTAACCACCACCCCATATCATCCCATGTGCAACGGGGATGGCGGAGAAGTTTAACGGGACGATAAAGACAATGCTTTAAAAGATGTGCCAAGAAAAGCCACGACAGTGCGATCGTTATATCACTCCCCTCTTTTCGCCTACAGAGAGGTACAACAGCGTAGTCTGGGTTTTTGCCTCTTATGTTTTTATACGGAAGGCACTTTTGAGGCCCTATGATCATCCTGAAGGAGCTGTGGACAAACGACTGTCTCACCGAAGAGGTCAAGACTACCTACGGGTATCTGTTGGACTTGAGAGATTTCCTTGTAGAGACGATGGAGCTTGGAGCTGGCCCACAAGAATCTTGCTGAGGCACAACAGGTCCAAAAGATATATTTTGACAAAAAGTCCCAAAACCGTCTACTACGGGATGGTGACCGAGCACTGCTTTTGCTGCGGACCACCCATAGCAGGCTGCTGATGGCTTGGATAGGTCCATTTTGGGTTCTCGGAGCTAAGGGAGGTTACGACTACCTCATCGACTTGGGACGCACGCAAAAGCTCTTCCATATCAACCTACTCAAGCGATACGAAGAGCGGGCAAAACAAGAAGAGCCTCAACCCCAGACATCGGTCATATTTTCAGTAGAAGATGAAAAGGACGGCTTACTATGAGCCCCATCGCTTCAAGAGACAAAAGGAGCCAAGTATGTCATGCTTAGCCAAGACCTCTCAAACGAAGAGAAAGATTAGCTAAGGGCCCCTCCGAAAGTATACGACGAAGTCTTTTCAGGCCTGCCCGGGAAGACAAACATCCTTCATTGTAAGCAGTGAGAGAGTACAGGCTAGCTGGTAATCAATCGACATCTTGTAAACCCTGAGATTGGGAACGATAAAAAAACGGACGAACGGACGAGAGACGAAAGAGAAGAGGCCTTTAATATGTTAAAAGTCGCTCTCTCCGCTAGGCCTGTGTTGCGAGTACCCTGTAGCAACAAGGAGTTTGTAGTGCGAACGGATGCGTCAGAGACCGCGATTGGCGCCGTCCGAGATTTTGTTGTGTTCGTCCGTTTTTTTATCGTTCCGCATTTCAGGGTTTACAAGATGTCGATGCTTCATTGCCAACTTCATCTCACAAGCGAAGTGCCGCTCCGAACACTGCAGTATCCTGTGCCCCCAACATTGAGGGAGACGATCGAAAGGAAGTGCAGGAGATGTTGCGAGGAGGAACCATTGAAAAGTCCAAATCCCCATACAGGTCTTCATTGATTCTAGTACAGAAGACAGACAACACCTTCCGCATATGCGTCGACTTTCGTCGCATCGACACTATCTTGGTAGGGGATGCAGACCCCATGCCCGCATATATGATATGTTTGCGGACGTGGGGACAAGAGATACTTCTCCAAGTTTGACCTAGTCAAAGGATACTCGCAAATACCGTTGGCGGAAGAATCTGAGCAAGTTACGGCGTTTTCAACAGCCTCGGGCTTGTATCAGTTCAAATACTTGGCCTTTGGATTAAAGACCGCTTCAGCCGTCTTCGCAAGACTCACGAGATAACTCTTGCACGAGATACCACATGTGCAACATTATATCGACGATGTTCTTGTTGCCACCGATACTTGGTCAAAGCACCTGACGACGCAGCATTGTTTGTCGGAGCGAGTTCGTCAGGGAGGCTTAACAATCAAGCCCAGTAAGTGCGAGATCGGCATGAAAAACCTCACATTCTTGGGCCACGAGCTAGAGGAAGCAAAGATTCGACCTTTATTCCGCACACTAGAGCAGGTCACGAAGGCGCAAAAGCCACAGACGAAGAAGCAGGTCCGATCATTCTTGGGCCTGGCAAATTATTACAAGCAGTTCGTACCAGGATATACTCAAATCGCCGAACCCCTAGTGGAAATGACAAAGAAAAGAGAGCCCAACAAGGTACATTGGAGAGACGAAAAAGAAGAGGCCTTTAATATGTTAAAAGTCGATCTCTCCGCTAGGCCTGTGTTGCGAGCACCCTATAGCAACAAGGAGTTTGTAGTGCGAACGGATGCGTCAGAGACCGCGATTGGCGCCGTCCTCATGCAAGAACCCGAGGGATTGCTGCATCCCATATCCTTCGCGAGCAAACAGCCTCTTTCACGCGAGCGAAAATATTCCACGGTTGAGCGGGAATGCTTGGCCCTAATATGGGCGATTCAGAAATTCCACATGAACCTATGGTAAACAGTTTACGATAAAAACAAACCACCACCCACTGCAGTACTTGAACACTGCGAAGTTGATAAATAGTAAGGTGTTAAGGTGGTGTCCCTTGCTTCAAGAATATAGTTTCAGAGTTGTACATATTAAGGGTAGCGAAAATGTAGGAGCAGATTTTATGAGTAGGATCTGAGATTTTGGATGCAATATCTAGCTGATATGATCTTTGTTGTTGTTTTTTTTCACCATGTATATGTTCACCGGTGTAGCTGGATCTTCTTTTCTGAACAAGAAAAGCTTAAAGTGTGTGTGTGTGTGGGGGGGGGGGGGTTGTGTGGTGAACTGTGATCAGACATTTCAACGAGGTGCAAGAAAAAAGAAGACGACGTGATTCGGAAAGAAAAGAAGCACGAGACAACAGGGAAAGAAAGAAGAAGTGGTGGTTGGAACAACGAGGACAAATGACTGGGGGTTGCCTTCCTAGGAGGCGTCGACGCAAACAGAAACGACTGGGCGTAAATGCAAGGGAGAACCGGGCCGTATCGTGAATACGATGTTCCGTTGTCCCTGACGACACCCAGCGGCGGCTGCACCAATCATGGGAGACATCACCATATCGTTGCCGCGCGTCGCCAACGTCGTTGTCAGGTGAAGTGAAGTGTTCCACTCTGACCTCCATTAACTTACTTGACTCGAAACTCACATATGTTATCTAGTGACACATCAAATACTTGTTTTATGACTACTATAATGGAATTGTGTATCCCGTGAAATACTTCATGATTTCATGATTTTCTTCAAATTTGTTTCGCTATTGTTTTTTTTTAATGCAACTACTAAAAGCGACACAAAAACAGTACTTGCTTCGTCAATATTTTGATTTATCCAAAAAGAGCTTGACCTCGAATAACGAACCTCCTCACATAGCCCTAACTCAGAAAAATGTTGTTTTCTCTTGCTAGAAGAAGACTAGTCTACGACATCATTTGCAAGCACATGGTCTCCTCAGTTCGCCTTGATTGAAGCCGATACATGTTTTAAACCAACATGGCCTTTTTAAACATCACCACGCAATCCTTTTTTTTGGATGCGCCATGAGACAAATAGTACAAGCGGCTTGAGCGCTACACGAATGCGGCCGGTGCTGTCGAACTGTCTTCTACTTGCAGGCAATCTATTCTTCCCAACAGTCTTTGTGATGAAGGCCCACGCATCTACGATTCCGTCATAGAGAGTCGTTTTCTTCCACCCACTACTGCTGCTCCTCCGCCAGCAATGGGGTCAGCTGCAGACGGTGCCGGAGAAGAATCCACATCAAGATCAGTCTCTGAGATACGTACCATTCATGACAATTACGCGGCTGCACTTGCAGCACTGGCGAAACAATTCTCTGCAACAACAAGTTCCATCGTGGAGAGCCATTGGTTTTGCCGTCGGCACCAACAAGAGAACGATTCGCTTGTGGACTATAATGCAGCATTGCGACAATTCGTGACCGCATTCAGCTTTGGGACTCGAATTGAAGACACTAATCAAGAGGTTATAGCAGGACTAGTGCCAGCATCCTTCCGTGAAGGAGTGCGATATGATAATGTCTGTAGTATTTAAGTTGGTGGTGAAGGTCACCCTTCATTTAGAAAAGGCTGTAGGACAAAAAAGTGCGATGCGACCCCAGACACGTACCCACGAATCCCCTGCAGCCTATGAGGTCTTTGCAGAGGAGTTGTAGCGTCAAGATTTCTGGCCCAGATACTTGTCAAGAAAACAACTAATTCATCGTGTAGCACGGAACGATCAGTCTCTCTCTCATCACACCCGTCGCCGTAACTCCTCCCGAATGTTCACCCTTCAAGACTGGTCAGCGTCGCTACCATCAGACCCAAGTCGGTTTGCCCTTAACACATCTTCTACACCTGGGCCTTCGACGTTTCGATCACGTCAAGGGACATTCTCGAAAAGATATCTAAACTGCGGACTGCATAAATGTCGGGACTTTGTTGCCCGCTGATCAAAAGGTGCTACGAGCTGTGGCTGCGGACACGAGGCCATTATGCAAGGTTCTGTAGGAGTTCCAACCACCGTCAGAGATCTGTTCGAGTACGAGAGATACTTTCTGACGAAGACGAAGAAGACTATCATGTCGTAATAAACGTTGTTCTTGGTCGCCGTCGTTCAGGACTTTACATCGACGTCGTTCTCTTCCAGCAAGAGGTGGATTTTGTCGTGGACACCAGATCGCATGTGTCCAGTATTTCGGACTGGCTTCTCAGAACGCTCATCTCATCTAGCGGACGAACATTGAAATGGTTCAACCACCCTCTGCCCTTCTGAAATATTCGCAGGAAAAAATAACCGTCATCGGAGCGTTCTACGGAGAAGTAGCCAAGCAGAAATATACTGTATTCGTCTTATATTCTGCGACCAACATCGGCACATCGCTACTGGATCTCGACGCAATATAAGCCTTGAACCAGCGTATCCTGGGTACAGCATTGCTTTGTCTGCATACTCAGGCTGCAGAACATGACGAGTCCTATGGGCAAGATCATTCAGGGAACGATGAACCACTGGAGAGCAAAGGTGCAGCGCATTACCCTGCCGGGAATGTTCGCCAGCGTATCTCGTCGTGTATAATTAAACTAGGAGCTGCACAAGTCGCAAATGTGTAGTTTTCCCGTTTTTTTAACAAATTTGTAAATCTTAGAAAAAGAAAATAACTCATATAAGAAAGCATTCTTAAAAATATTTATGACTACACTCATAATAAACTTAAATAAAACATGTTTTTAAAAGTACGTTTGCAGGGATATTTCAAAGTAAATTACACGTAAGAAATTTGCGTCCCATGATCGAAAATATACAAGTCCGTGCACTTT